CCATCAGATTCCCAGATGCAAATCCTTGGGAAACTTCTTCCTTCCAAGCTCTCCCTTCTGCCAACAGAGTATTTTATCTCCTCACCTGTCACCGCCACTCCACAATTCCTATCTTCTATTAATGGTGAACCCAACGTATGCCTAGAGAACACATAAAATCCTTCATCTTTAAAATTAAACTTGCAGATGTCATTTTTTACATGACACACATTTGTTTTACTTGTACGTGCAGGATAAAGCATCCAATTCAAGACTTGAGTGTGATGCTGATTTCTTTCCTCTTGTGACCAGTAGCCCATGTAGCAACTGCCGTCAGGCCAAGTGAAAACTCCATGGCCTTTTGGAGCACCATTCTCCCAACACCCATCATACCGATTTTGATTGGACCAAATCAAGACGCCTCTTCCATGAATCGTCCCATTCATCCATTCCCCAATATACTCATTCCCATTCTGCCAGACATACCTTCCCTGTCCATCCTGCAGGTTCCTTTTCCAATGGCCCTCATAGTAGTCTCCATTGCAGTAAAGCTTTTGCCCAAACCCGTGTTTATGATCTGCCAGCCATGCACCCTTGTACATATCACCGCCCGACCCAATGAATGTGCCCGTTCCTTCCATCCGACCAGACCTAAATTCGCCCTCGTAGATAGCCCCAGACGGCCAAGAGAACTTTCCTTTCCCAGAGGCTTTCCCTCTCTTCCATTCTCCTTCATACATGCAACCATCGGCCCATAAATACTTCCCAGATCCGTGAGGCGCATTGAGGAAGAAGTCCCCTATATACAGATCTCCGTTGGAAAGGCGTTTCTCAACCACAGCCGATGAACTGGTGGGAGTGACTCTCCGAATGGTGCCGTGCGATTTGCTCCTGGGGATTATAATAACAGACCTTGGAGTGGTGGTGGTGATTTCAAAGCCTTTCCTTCCCTCCGTCTCGCTCTCGTCCTCTCTTTTCTCTTCCGACTTTCCCTTTTTAGGGATGAGCGTTTCATGGCCAATTAACATCACCGAATTAGAAAACTACAAATCGTCAGGCAATTGATAAGGCAAATGCAACCGCTGTACTCAAGGTTTGCGGCGGCGGAAATGGCGGCAGAACTTTCAGGTAATCGCCGGATAACGAGAAAGTTTCATAGAAGTAGTATAGAACCCAATCTTCGATCGAATTGCATTCCGGCAGCCATTTTCCCTTCTTCTTCCTCCGATGTCTGGGTGCCTGCACTCCCTCAAAGTAAAAGCAGCGACGATTAGAGAGCATTCATTACAGCATAATCACAGAGATGGAAGCCATTAACGTACTGTATGAGAAAAAGGGAAAGTAAAAGAACTTATATAAGTAAAGGAAATGAAAAACAAAGCATCCGGCTCTTCTCTACTGACACAAACATGTGGTTTCCAATGGCAAGGTCATGGGACATTCGGAATCAATGTCATGGGATGATCTGTGGGCGCTCGGGTATCCCGTTCGTAAAATTTACGGTTCCTACCTCCTAGCCCCCCGGTAAACCCCCCACCCCGCCCTGACCCGAACACACCCCCCATCCCCTTCAATTGCACCCCACAAGGTGATTTTGACTTTGGAGTCAAAATTTGATTCAAAGTCAAAATCAACTTGTGGGGTGCAAATTGCAATTGAAGGGGATGGAGGGTGTGTTCGGGTCGGGGCGGGGTGGGGGGTTTACCGGGGGAGTTAGGGGGGAGGAACCCTCAATTTTACGAACGGGGCACCCGAGCGCCCCCGGGTCATCCCATGACATTGATTCCCAATGTCATGGGAACCTTGGTGGGTTTTCAATGCCAAAATACGCAATAAAAATACCATCTCAACGATTGGTTGCAATGTTACATAAAGACCTTTTCGGGATGAGGATATTAACACTATGTTTGGTTCAAGGAATTTGAAAGGAAAAAGAAAAGAAAATGAAGTGTAAAACAGTTTTTCTTGTTTTGTTAGTGGGGAAAAGAAAGAAAAAGTAGAAGGAAAAGAAAATGAGAAGACAAAATGTACCAGGTGGAGGGAAAACCAAATTCCTTCCATTTTGGTGTAGAAAATGAGAGAAAACCATTTTCTTTTCTTTTCCTTCTAAATTCTTTGAACCAAACATAGTGTAAAGGAAAAACTTGATGAGACTGGTGGCCTAATGGGCTAAAGAATCCCATTCTTTGGTTTTCTTTAGAACTATATACGGCCTGGATTAAGCTATGTGTATCCCAATATTTCTATCCCAACTTGTACCTTGTAGGTTTACATTTTTATTTTGTGTTAGTGTAATTCTATAGTGATGGTTCACATAAATACAAAATGTTAGTGCAAATTTTTATTAACGTACCAATATTTTTTGTCAGTGTGAACAATAAAAATGTTAGTGTATACCTTTGGTGTAACTTTGGGGCACAATTTTTTGTGTAAGTATAGCATGATCCATATGGTCGGGTGGGTGAAACAAAGCTCTTCTTTGGCTTTCTATGGGACTACATGTTGGGGATGTAGAAGATAACACACATAAATTGAAAGTCAAGGATAACACTTTCAGATTGAATTTTTTGGGAGTTCAATCTAAAATTTAATCGGATAAAGCTTAGTTATCAAGATTAAGTATTAATATGTTGTGAATTTTTGAACTCTGTTTTGGCAACCATGGATTAGCAGATTTTATAGAACCGCGAAGCGAAGAAGGTTGTGGTCATGTCTCTCGTCCAAAACACATGTCTCTTTGCGCGATTATTGAGAAAACAGTGCTTATCTCTTCTTTTTTTTTTGAAATTTTCCTTTAAGGAAATTCAAAAATTAAAAATTCAAACGAACTTTATCATATCCAAATTTAAAAAAACAAATTTTAATGCACAACGTATTATTATTAAAAATTTAAGTAAATACAATTAAAATTTAATTCAAATAATGTTAATATATTAATTGAACTTTTGAAAAATATACAAAATGCTAATATAAAATATCTATGTTCACTATTTTATCCTCTATTTTGTCATGGAGTTCATTTCTTTTAGAAAATAATGGAATAAAATATATTTTATTTTTTTCTTTTCATACATGCATAGTGTTTCATACACGAAGAGGGTAGCATAAAACCAAAAATGAATCTATTTAAATTAATAGTGGTATTTTCAAATTTAGATTTTTTTAAATATTAATTCATATAATTAAATTTAAGTCAATATAATTATATAATTTAACAACTAACTTTAAATATATTACTCCCTCTATTCTCAAAAACTTTTTCTCTTTCATTTTTGTTACTTCCAACAAAACACTTCCACTTTCTATTAAAAAACTCCTTTTACCCTTACTTTTTCATACCCTACATATCACATCATACTTTACTCTAATACTCAATCCATCACATCTTATTTTTACCCATCACATCAATGACAAAATTGAAAGTCAACCACCACGAGTACAATTTAACACTTCCTTATTTTTACTCAAAGTCAAAATATGAACACTTTTATAGAATGAAGGGAGTAGTAGATGCATATATGTGTGTGTGTGTGTGTGTGTATGATATGTGTGATAAAAAGTATGTTTTACTTGATAAAAATATAAAATAAAAAAAATCACCCTACGTAACACTTTTAACTCACCCAATATTACAGATTTAGCACTACTCATTTTTTTACAAACTTAGCTATTTATGGTGTCAATCCGTTCATATCATACCCTTTACCTTTTTATTATAATTTAGTCTCTTTTATGTATTTTATGTATTTTATTAAAATTAAAATTAGGTTATTCAAGGAGTTCATTTACTGCACGTTATTGTCGTCCGACTTCTCCTGCGCGATATAAAGTACCTGTGAAATTAAATGAAGCTATTGTCGAATCTATTGCCAATCTTCTCCACTGCCAAACTCACGAATTCAATCCATTGCCGAACACACAAATTCACTGCCAAATTAAAAAAAAACTCAATCCACTGCCAAACTCACGAATTTACTGCCAAATTAATAGAATCCATTGTCGAATTCACTGTCAATCTTCTCCACTACCAAATTAAACGAAGCTATTGTTGAATCCACTGCCAAATTAAACGATTTCATTGTCAAATTAAACTCAACATACATGTATCTTCTCCAATCTTTTGCTAAGAAGAATCTCGTCCAGCGCATCATCGTTTGTCATCGAAACCTTTGCGCGTCTCCTTCCTGATGCTGCTTCTGCGTTCAAGGCCATATTTGGGATGTTTTTTTGATAATATGGTGTGAAGATCGGATCTTCCGTAAACAAGAATCCTGGAGGGTCGCCAATTACTGATTTTTTATAATTCAATCTTGGATGTTTAATTAAGAACAAAACTGGGAATGCATCTCAAAAACCTATAGCACTACTATTTTGATTATTATAGGGCTATATTAGTGTTATTATGATACTTCTCTCATTTGAAAAAATATACATAATCATTGAGTACAATTTTAGAATGAGGAGTGCGAGGGGAACACCACTAGGGGTACACCACATGTATACCAAGTCTAAAATAGGCACATACAGACACTTAATGTCTGTGCACGCACAGATAGTAAGTGTCTGTGTGTTTATTTTTGCATTGCTATACATGTGGTGTACCCCAAGTAGTGTTCACCAAGCATTTTTATTTTATAATTTATCCATTTTTAAAGAAAAATGCTAGGGTACACCAAAGGTGTACCCTCTATGTCCTCACCCCCTCCTTGTCTACATAAATTGGCAAGAAATTTAAAAATAAATAAATAAATAAAAATAAAATAAATTAGGTGGTGGAGAAGGGGGTGGTGTACATTTGGGGTACATGGTGTACCCCTAGCATTGCTCATTTTTAAATCAAAGAATGTAAATGGAGCATGCTACATGTACCCCAAAATTTGTACCACATTTGTACACCAAATGTATGCATCAATATTTTGATAGTTTGCACTGACACAAAGTATTGGTGCGTTTACAAAAATTAGTGTTACACCCACATAAAATATTGGAGTGTATAAAATGAGGTAGAAATTTGAGGTACAAATAGCTTCATCCAATGTAAATACGGAGTACTTGTTGCTTGTGAATACAACCCATCCCATCCATCCACGTGTCGCCACCTTCTCAAACATCCAAACTACCATGTATTTCTCCTCCACTTCCAGTCCGTGCTCCTTCTAACCAACCAATTCCTAACAAACCTCGATTGAAACCATTCATCTCTGAGATCATGACGCTTTTGTCTCGAGTAATTCCAATCGTAGCACAGGGAAATTCAAAGTCAACACAACCCATCCCCATTATCTATTTATTTAATTTGTTTATCTTTTCTAGGTTTCCCAGAAAATGGCCGGAAATGAGTGGATAAATGGGTACCTGGAGGCCATACTGGACAGCGGAGCGTCCGCGATTGAGGTTGAGAACAAGGCGCCGCTGGTTAACCTCCGGGATAGAGGGATTTTCAATTCGACCAAGTACTTTGTGGAGGAGGTTGTAACGGCTGTAGATGAGACCGACCTTCACCGGACATGGATCAAGGTGGTGGCTACCAGGAACACTATGGAGCGGAGTTCGCGCCTCGAAAACATGTGCTGGCGAATCTGGCACCTCACTCGCAAGAAGAAACAGGTATGTCTACTTTAGTTTGATTTTACTGGGATTTGCTCTCTACTACATACCATAAGACTCCGAATCGTTTATATTAGCCCAATTTCACCAGTGTTTGAGAGTAGTTTCTGTTTTAGAGGGTAATATAGGTGACTTAGGCCATCCACATTAGAAGGGTTACAAAGGTGGAGGAGTCCACTTCTCCTGGAGTTGTAATATCACTGGATGGAGGGATACAAGAAGAAGTGTTCCGGCACAACTTCCAAGGAGAGGAAGGGGATGTGCTAGTCTGTGGAGAAGAAGAGAGTGTGATATTGATTGGCCAATGTCTTTATGCCATGTGGCCTTCTCATTCAATTTTTTTTAATAATATACAGTAATTCTGTTGGGTTTTTTTTATAGAGATAGGTTTAATTAATTTTGAGGAAAAAGTAAAATAATTTTTCTTAATATCTAAATATTAATTTTACACCTCTCTACTTTCTATTTTAGAATATAAATATGTAGACTTCATGAATTGTATCTCTTCCAAATAAATTTAAATCACACACTTTTTCAAAATATAGAGAGACTAAATTCAATTTGATTTTTTTAAAAAAACATTTAAGAAAGTTGAAATAGAATTGTTGTCTCAAATAAACGAAATTTACAAATCTTTTAAGATTGAGCTTTTGGTTTAGTTGGTTCCTTGACATGGTATTAGAGTCTTGTTGATCAAGAAGTCATGAGTTCAAAACTCACTCTGAAACAACCATGCCTACACGTGAGGAGGCATGTTAGAATATGAAACAACCACAAGTTTGAACTTTTGGTTGAGTTGGTTCCTTACACGTATTATAAGGTGCTCATTATGTCAATTAGATGTTCTTTTTGCCTTATTTTTAAATGGGGTCTAAGGTTGGGTAACTAGAACTTGGAATGTGAGTCAAATTATATGATGAAGTTTGCACTAAAAAATAAAATAAAATAATGAAGTTTGTAATCTCAAATGTGGTACATGGATTTGGAGATTGAAAATGGAGTATGAAGTTCTGGACTTATAATTTGAAAAGAAAATGGCATTAAAGTGTGTAAAATTTCATCACAGTAAAATTTCCCAATGGATGCACACATTTTCCATTTAAATGGACTAATTCTTTTTTCCTTTAGAATTGCATATGGGCTGAATTTTTGTTTACGTTTAATTTTTTTATTTGATCAGATTTCCTGCACGTTAGTATAGTTGGTTTCTAGTAACTTTCTGGCATAATCTGGCTGGTTCTTTTACTAGTGAGGACGCTCTCTAAGATTCTATATTTTCACAGCAATCAAATTATTATTGGACCGCTTCAATCATTTTTTCTTCTCTTTAGTTGGAATTGGAAGTTTTCCAAAGGTTGGCGAATAGAAGATGGGAACAGGAACAAGGACGCAAAGATATGACAGAGGACGACATGTCTGAAGACCTGTGCGAGGGAGAGAAGGGTGGCGATGTGTCTGGGGAGACAATAACAACACTTGATAGTCCCAAGACAGAGTTCAAGCGAAACCTGTCCAATTTGGAAACATGGTCGTCACACACATTGCAGGGGAAAAAGCTTTATATTGTTCTCATAAGGTTTGCATATACTCCTTATGTGGGTTCTTGTAGATACATTTCTTCATAAAAAGGAAATCTGTGCCTTTATTCGATGAATTGTTGAATTAATGCTATCGGTGGAAGTAGGTTTGTTTGAAATCTAGTAATCAAAGATAAAATCTTTAATTATTAACATTAAGTGTGTGCTTATGATCTCCTTGCCGATTAGTTTGCATGGTTTGGTTCGTGGCGAAAATATGGAGCTTGGTCGTGATTCTGACACTGGTGGTCAGGTGACTATGTATATGATAAAGTGCACACACATCCCTTTCATAATTTCCTCTACAAAAAAATAAAAATTCTTGATGACACTGCATGTTGAACGAACCTGATTTCTTCAACTTCACAACAGATTAAATATGTTGTGGAACTTGCCAAGGCACTTGCAAAGATACCGGGAGTTTATAGGGTTGATCTGTTCACTCGTCAAGTCTCATCGCCAGAAGTAGATTGGACTTATGGTGAGCCTACAGAAATGTTGAATTCTGATGGTGACAGTGGTGCAGATATGGGAGAAAGTAGTGGGGCGTATATTATAAGAATACCCTTTGGTCCTCGTGACAAATACCTTAGAAAAGAGCTGTTGTGGCCTTATATACAGGAGTTTGTGGATGGAGCTTTAACGCACATCCTGAATATGTCTAAGACACTAGGCGAGCAGATTGGCTATGGGCAACAACCTGTTTGGCCATATGTGATTCATGGTCACTATGCAGATGCTGGGGATAGTGCAGCTCTTCTTTCGGGGGCTTTAAATGTTCCCATGGTGTTAACTGGGCATTCGCTTGGAAGAAACAAGCTTGAGCAGCTTTTGAAACAGGGAAGACAATCCAAAGAGGATATCAATTCAACTTATAGGATAGTGCGGAGGATTGAGGCAGAAGAGCTTTCACTTGATGCTGCAGAGCTTGTTATCACAAGCACTAGACAAGAAATTGATGAGCAGTGGGGGTTATATGATGGGTTCGATGTCAAGCTCGAGAGAGTTTTGAGGGCCCGTGAAAGACGTGGGGTCAATTGCCATGGTCGTTATATGCCTAGAATGGCGGTAAAACTGATTGCCTGCTTGTAATTATGCTTTGTCTGTCATTTTTTATCTTCCCCTTTCTTTTTTAGATATACCTAATTAATCTTCCCTTTTAAAAAAAATATTTTGGTTCGCATCAATTCTCTCTCCTAAACTCTGTAAAAAGCAAATGGGAAAGATTTAATAGTGATAGAAGTATATACATTTGCCTGCAAATATAGTTTTATTGTTGTGGATATATAGAGTATATAAAAGCATTTCTATGATGAAATGACAGTAGACGCTTAGATTATAAAAACGAGCTAAAGATTGCAAGTCAACTGCTTTCAGGTTATTCCTCCTGGAATGGAATTCAGCAATGTTGTTGTTCAAGAAGAGGCAGCTGAAATGGATGTCGAACTTACATCACTTACTACCTCAGACGGATCATCTCCTAAAGCAATGCCTGCCATTTTGTCAGAGGTCAGTAATGGTGTTATTAATATGTGTGAGTGCGTGTTTGTGCAATCAAATTTTCTTTAGGTAAGTCGTGTGTATGTGGCGTAAAATTTATACATCATGTTGGTATGCTCCTTATGGAGCACAGTGCTGAAATGGGCTGGAAAGATGTAGCGACCTCACAAAATGAAACCCACAAAAATAAGGTGAATTCATGCTATGCACCATTTCAGCCATATGGGAGCAAACCAATATGCTCCATAACATTTTGGGTATATATGGGTCTTGATGACTATTTTCTGCCCAGTTAATTTCTTCTATTCCAACAATGTAAGAAAAATATTTTGTTCCCATATACTTTTGCTTCAAATTCATAAAAAAGTTAGAGCATTTTCAAAAGCTAGTAAATTAGAACTCCAATTTTCTCTTTGGCTACAACTTCAATTACAGGTAATGCGTTTTCTTGTAAATCCACACAAGCCAATGATTCTGGCATTGTCAAGGCCAGACCCAAAAAAGAACTTAACCACTTTGGTAAAGGCATTTGGAGAATGCCGCCCCTTACGCGAGCTAGCTAATCTTGTAAGTAGGTCCTATGCTTTTCCTACTGTATCTTGTAGTGTAAGCCGCCACATTTTTTTACCATCCTATATAATAAAAATGATAATAAGTATTTTCAATTCAGACTCTTATAATGGGAAACAGGGATGATATAGACGAAATGTCTGCTGGGAATGCTAGTGTGCTCACAACAGTTCTTAAGCTAATTGATAAGTATGATCTGTATGGACTAGTGGCCTTCCCAAAACATCACAAGCAAAGTGAAGTCCCTGATATATATCGCATGGCTGCAAAAACGAGGGTTAGTTCAAACTCCTTCCCTCCCTGGCTTGCAACACTTGTTTGAGAGTTTGTCAACTATAAGATGCAACTAACTAGTGATCTATATAATTGAATCACAGGGGGTATTTATAAACCCAGCTTTCATCGAGCCATTTGGACTTACACTGATTGAGGTTTGTCACATGTCCATTCTTTGTCTCTTCGAGCTCTTTCATCATCAGTAGCACTACCATCACCTTATTCCCCATTTTGTTGGGTTGGTTACTTTGTTGCCCCGAATTTATAATGTGAACTCATTGTTTCAGACAAAAGATTCATGCAGAGTTTAATAAATACGTTTTATGCTGACTACCCTTCATTACTTTAACAATCTTGTTTCCAATGAGATTATATTTTTTTTTAATTTTTTTCTCAAAGTAAAAAAGAATTCCAAAACCATCATCATCATATCTTGAGATCACGATGACTTGAGATTGTAGTTAAATTATACTTCAATTACAAGATTGATCGAGATAACCTTTCAGTATCTGGATTAAAATTCTGTATGTAGGCTGCAGCCCATGGACTCCCCCTGGTTGCAACTAAAAATGGCGGCCCGGTTGATATTATTCGGGTAACTCTCACATTTCATTCAAACTATCTGAATACTAGTTGTTTCCTTTTTCTTCCCGATAAAGCCATTCATTGTAAATGGAGCTAAATTAGTCTCTATTGATAATTTTTAGCTTCTAGCAAGTAATGGACCAAATCACATTGGCAAATTAAACTTCCCTTGCATCTTCTTAGTTTGTATTACATTTTGGAAAGTAAATGTCGCAACACATAAGGGTCTAGAGTAAAGAACATCTCAGTTTATTACACAGATAAGATTGTGTACTTCTTTACCCCCAAGAGCCCAACAGTGTTGAACAGACTAAAAAAGCATAGATGATGCAAGAATATTTAATCTTATAAAAAATCCGGACTAGACTAGGTTGTTTTTGTGTGTTTGGATGTTTTTTCTGATAAACATGCAGTATTATTTCTAATTGTGCATTTATTTTGCACTGAATAAAAGTACACCGTTTGTTTCCATTTTCATTTTTCATGTGAAGACTTCTTTTTTCTTGAATCTTTCCCTGTTTCTGTGAGGGCGCATGGGTGTTTGTGTGTGGATGAAAAGATGGATGCATGTCTTAAGATCTTATTTATATTGATTTTCCTTTATATATGTTCTCAGGCACTGCAGAATGGTTTGTTTGTAGACCCTCATGATCAGCAAGCAATTGCTGATGCACTTCTAAAACTAGTATCAGAAAAGAATCTGTGGATGGAGTGTCGGAGAAGAGGTTGGAAGAACATACACCTGTTTTCATGGCCAGAACATTGTCGCACGTATTTGACAAAGATAGCTGCATGTCGCATGAGACACCCGCAGTGGCAAACTGACACTACAACAGAGAAGTTGGCTGCAGAAGAGTCGTTCCTAAATGACTCACTCAAAGATGTACAAGATTTGTCCTTGAGATTATCATTGGATGGTGAGAAAACATCGTCCCTGAATGGATCCTTTAGTACCACCTCTGCAGTTGTCAGTGATAACCCATCAGAACTTCCAGACCAGGTGAAGCTGGTTTTAAGCAAAATACAGAAGAAATCAGATGGAGGAGGAGACACTCATCAGAATCACGATGAAGCAGAAAGGAAAGACGATTGTGTACCTACCAAATATCCCATGTTGAGACGGCGATGCAAATTGATTGTCTTGGCCTTGGATTGCTATGATTGTAAGGGACAACCGGAAAAGAAAATGCTTAATATCATACAAGAGGTGATAAAGGCTACTATGGTTGGTTCACAGGATGGGAGATTATCATCATCTGGATTAGCTATATCAACTGCCATGCCAGTGTCAGAGTTGATAGAGTTTCTGAAATCAGGTAACGTTAAAGCCACTGATTTTGATGCTCTAATATGCAGTAGCGGCAGTGAAGTTTATTATCCAGACATGGACAGCAAAGTCGCAGATGGAAATCCTCCTGTTCCAGACCCCCATTATGCTACGCATATTGAATATCGATGGGGGGGCGATGGATTAAAGAAAACTCTTGGGAAACTAACTAATGCAAGAGAAGGTGAGAATTCAGGATCAACACTACCACATGTTGAAGAGGATGTGAAATCAAGCAATCGTTATTGTTTATCCTACTTGATCAAGGATCTCAGCAAGGTATATGCGTGTGCATGTGCTTTTCAAAAGCATAAAAAAGAAAATAATTTATTTAACATTGGGTATAGTAACAAGAAAATGACCCAGTTAGATCCCACGAGAATAGGGTATGGGCTACTAAGTATAGCTAGGCCGATCAATGAGCCGGGTTTTGACTCGACCCCAAATAAAACCCACATATTTTTAGGCCTATCAGAAATTCGTTTATCCATACTCGAAACCATACTCATTATTTATTTCAAATAAAGGATCGGGTATAGTGTAACTAGTTCCGACCCGTTTAAGACCCATGTCGTAAAAATAATACTACATAATTTCTGTTATTCTACATTATTTAGACCCAATTGAAAGGCCTAACTTTGATCTCATGTAGACAATATCCAAGTACCTAACTATCCATAATCAAAGTTTAATTAACTTTTTTCATTAAAATTGAAACACAATAATGACAAAAATAAATATTTTCAATATAAGGGGAAAATATAAATAAAAAAGACTAAAGTATCCTAAGTGACACTAGTTGAAAGTTGTGTCAGCAACTTCACATTCAAGAGTTGAATATTATATTAGTTGTAATCTTGTACGACCGTTTTCTATCTTCAAATATATTAAGTAGGAGTGAACCATTTTATTGGCTTAGAAGTTTATTTCTAGACTACTCATAACACTACGATTAAAAAATTGTGGGTCCCATAAATTTAGGAGGCCCGGGCAGTCACCAGACCGACCTCCCTCAGATACAGCACGACCCGATACTTGGACTCAAACGGGTCCAAATCTAGTACACAACATTAAGGCTCGTTGGGTAAATAGGTACACATTAGGGACACTTTTATATGGGTATGGATATGTAACACCATGGTTCGGCCCGAACCCGACCTATTGACAGGCCTCGGTATACAATGATTTCTAAATATGACTTTATCACCTACATACAGGCAAGGAAAGTAGATGACCTAAGACATAAGCTGAGAATGAGGGGCCTTCGGTGTCATCTTATGTACTCTCGGAATTCCACAAGGATCCAAGTAATTCCTCTCCTTGCTTCTCGAGCTCAGGCACTTAGGTATGTAGTCTTACATTATTCCTTAGAATGGTTGTTCATATCTTGTGGAATGTGAATACGTATCTTGCTCTTAAAATATAGTCTTATTCCTAATTAATGTGCATTATTTGAATATGTGATCTCAAATGTACTATTTTCAAATACACTAATCAGTATTACAATTTGTAAATGCATTGCAAAGTATTCTAAGACTGCACTATAAACTATTGTATTGCTTATATTTTTAATGCAAGTCGTGGTTAATTTTTACAGCCTCCATTGCAACTCAAGCTAAAAAAGTCATTTTTGTGTTTTAGCTTTGGATAAGTAATGAAGTAAATCAAAATGGCACATCACATTTTTGTCGGTTCTTACATTGAAGTTTTGGGTGGTAAAGGCATCAATCCATCAAGGATATAGTAGAAACATCTCTGTTTTACGTATGCTTAAGGTTGCGTACATAAAGGTGTGTGGGAGTCCTTCGGAGAGGCCAATGTCATGTCGGCTAAGATTGCAAATTACATTTGGCAAGCTGCTAGGTGCGAGCAGAGGTACTGAGTTTTGTTATAAAGGTGATTGGTGGTCGAGTGATGTGGTTTGTTGTAAGGTGAAAGCTAAGAAGGTAGCATATAAGAGGTTTGTGGACTGTAGTGATGAGAAGGCTATGATGTCGTTAATAATGGAGTATAAGATTACATGCAATGACGCAAATTTCAATGTTATGAGGTTGAAGAGTGAAGCCTTTGGACGCCTATATAAGGACTTGGAAGAGCGGGATTTGGAGCATGTGAGATTCTATGTGGATGATAAGAGGCTATTTTGGCTGGCTGTGCATAAGAGGAAGGCCTAGGATTTGGAGTATGTGAGATGTGTGAAAGATAGTGATGACATGGTTTTGTTTGAAGCACCGAAAGTGGCCAACCGGTGGGGGAATACTTTCATAGTCTATTGAATGCGAGAGGAGAAGGAGGCTAGAGAGGCCTCGAGACTTTGGCTATTTTCAGCGCATTTGTGAGAGAGAGGTTGTGAGGGTCCTCGAAGGAATGAGGAGTGGAGAGCCTTGATGCTAGATGAGATTCTATGGAGTTTTGGAAGTCTATGTTCAACAATGGGTTGGTCTAGGTAATTAAGTTTTTCAATGTTACTTTTAGAACGGGTAAGATGTCTGATGTGTACAGAGAAAGTGTGATGATCCCACTTTATAAGAGATAAGATGATATTTAGGGTTGCAATAGTCATAGAGGCATCAAATTTCTTTGAAACACCATGATGGTCTTGAAGCGTAGCATAAAAGCTAGGCTCGGGAAAGAGGTTTGCATTATCAAGAATCTATTTGGCTTCATCCATGGCCGGTCAATAACAGAGGTTATTCCCCTCCTGCGGAGGTTGATGGAAGAGTATAAAGCTAAGAAGGATGTTCACATGGTCATTGATACATAGATGGCGTATGACAGGGTGTAGAGGGAGATTTTGTGGAGATGCCTCGAGTGTATAGGGGTTCCAATTTTGTACATTCGTGCAGTTAGAGATATGTACGTCAGGACAAGGACTAGGGTGAAAACTATAAGAGGTGACTCTGATCATTTCATTGTAGAGGTGTGGTTGCAGCAAGGGTTTTCTCTTAGTTTCTTCCTTTTTCATTTGGTGATGGATGTCCTACCACAAGACAAGAGGAGATCAACGTTACATGTTTTTGTCCTTGATATTGTACGGATTGATACAATTTGATAATAATTGATCTTATTGAATAATGATGGCTTAATTCTTATATATAAGGAATACAAGAGATACTAGTAATCACAGTAAAATATCAATTATTGAAGCAATAGAATAAGGAAGGTAATTAAAATAATAATATTCTTTTCTATTGTCCCCCAACATGCTGATCAACGGTGACGACGAGAAGCTTGGAGCATGAATGCGTGGTGGAAGTTGTTTTGTGAGAATGTCTGCTCAGAGGAGGGAACATGGGAACATGATGAGTAGTCATAGTGCCTCGCCTCCCATGACTTCATCTCGCACAAAATGACAACCTGAACCAACATGCTTCATACACTCATGTAGAACTGGATTTTTTGTCACACAGATAGTGGATTCATTGTCGTAGTAAGGACGAGGTTTTGATGGAGGGATGTCTAAAGCATCGATAATTTACCGTAACCACATCGCTTATGTTACACCTGCAGCCATGGAACGATATATGTCCTCTATGCACATAGCTTCTGTTACCTGCAACCATGACACAGTATTCGTCCTGCAACCATGACATGATAATATCTCATCTTCGTCAATTTCTTGAACCATTGGATTACTAGTTGATGCTCGATCCTCCCTCTTTCAAAACCAAGTCTCGGAGACTTTTCTTCAGCCCTTCCGGAAGAGTAGGACATTCTATTGTGTTATGATTCCCTCCGATCAGATCTTTGAATCTTCTAATCCCACCATTACTTGCACGACCACAAAATTGCATACCAAATCATTACTCAAGTTTGGTTTCAGCTTTGTGCAGTGTTCCCAAGCCAAAGAGCATGACATTTTAGGTCGCAGGTTCCAGATTCATGTGAAACCCAGGCTTTGAAGAAGAAGAAAAAGGTTGCCGCAGGTTCCCTCCCTTCCTTCTCGAGTCCGATCAGCAAAGAAAAATAGGACGAGCGATGGTTGCGATTAGGAAAAGTTAGTGACGGCTGAGTTTGACAAAAAGAAAAGGGTTTGTTTGTATTAGGCCTAACTTATTAGACCTTATTGGCCTGAACTAACCAAAAAAATTTAAAAAAGAAAAAAATTGGCGACAAATGGCGATGGCGTGGCAATGACACAAGAATGGCGCTGCCACATGATACTCAATCGCCACAAACAGGTTTATGGCACTGGGGTGGGGGGGCAAAAATGGCGCATTTATTGCGCGCGCCATTTGCGCCATTGATAACACTGATTTGCGGAAACCAAGACCTTGCAAAAAAGAAGACAGGCGTGTGGACCACACATGTGGGGGCCTGTTTAAGGTCGTATAAGAATTTTTGCAACTTGAAAACAGAGTGTTGTCACTGCGGGTTTATGTAATCCAACGGTTTCTCCATAAAAATTTCTTTGTCCACAGTGCCATGTTGAAAGGCTTTGACTCACATCCAACTAATGAAGAGGCTAGGCATGATGAAGTGCGAAGGAGAGAATAAGACGT